CCTGGGGGGACAGGCCTTGGGGACAAGAGCCCTGGCACTTTGGGAAGCGCATCGGAGGCCCCAGGAGGGTCAACCCTTCTTTGCCCCGCGCAGGCCTGATGCTTTGAAAACCGGCTGGAAATACTAATTATTCAGATGCCCTTGTCTTTGGGCATCACTTTAGCCCTGTCCGGAAGGTCATCTCAGAGCCTTCTGGAAGCGTAAGTGCTGGTTTGGGTCAGGTAAAGCCAGGAGGGCTCATGGAAACTGGCCCTGCACTTCCTGCAGGACGATGGACACCCAAGGCCAACCCCGCCCAGGTTTAGCCACTTTGTGGACAGGTGGACGGGACAGCCGCTCTTACTCCACAGGGCTGCCCTAACATGGCCACACCGGCCATTTCCAGTTCCCGGCCCGTGGACGCCTCTTCTGGGGTGACACCCAGCAGCAGCACCACCAGCAGCCTGCGTAAGGTGGCTGCTGGGCAAAGACAGGGTCCTGGAACTCAGCTGCGGTGGCTTGGGGTCCACTCCGCTTCTCCCGTTTCAAACCCTGTGTAATTCTGGATTTTGGGGCAGAATTAGGGAAAGGAAGCTACTGGTTTTGTTTCTTCAGATCCTTCCAGGGCCTGTGGCCAAACAGTGTATATTTGTGATAAATATGTTGTTACCAAAAACATCATTTCTTTACATCTCCCCACCCCCCACCATAGTTATTTTAAACAAACACGGGGCTGGCAAAGTTTGTCAGGTACTGTGGCAAACATAAGGCCTAATGTTGAAAAAGATAAGGTCCTGGTTTTTGCTGAGGATGCATTTAATACTCTTTTGGAAAAACTGCAGTGCCTGAGAGGACATCTGATGTAAACCAAGATGCTGGATGGAGTGCTTCCTTTTATTTTATTTTAAAATGTATCTTTATTGTTAATGAAAGTATGCCCTGGGGCTTCCTCATGAGCTCCAGTGTGACAAACAGGATTCCGCAACAGGGTGAGCTTAGTCCTGCTGGATCCCATAATATTAAGGGGAACAGGCAAAAAAATAAATAAATAAATAAATTAGTGGTGGTTGGTGAAAAATGGCCCACAGCTGTAACATGTGGAGTGGGGTGTACCTCTTGGCTACTGACTTTGGGGGCGGGCCCACTTTCAGCCACAGTGTTTAAGGCCTCACTTTTGTCTCTTGTCCCTATTGTTTTAAAAAATATATTTAAGAGATCCTATTGTGGAGGTGAGAACTCAGTTACCATGAAAAGAAACAGGGATAAAACAATGCAAAAAGCCCAACTCCAAATCGGGGTGCTTTATGTAAAACGATGAACCAGTTTCACCCCAGTGAAAGTTAAAAATACCATTTGAGTGGCAGAGCCACTGGCATTCTGTGGTGGGCCCCACAGCGAGAGGCAGCAGAGCCGGGAGGCGGCCCAGAGGCCTGCGCGACACCCCAGCGGCCGTCACCCGACACAGCAGGCAGGGCCCGTCCTCCTTCCAGTGCTTGAACTAAGGATGAGACAAAGCTGAGAGCACAGTTCGTGTTGTTTTGCTGTGCACAAGGTAACAAGCTGACAGAGGCCAGGGCATGGGGGAGAAACCGGGCTCCCCAGGGAGCCACGGGCGGCGCTCAGAACACGGGATAAATGACTTGCTTGTGGAAGGACTACACGCAAGCCAAGGAGCCTAAGCCGAATGCTTCTGCGCCTGCCTCCTGGACGGCACTTTTCACATTTATGCAAAACTCCTGCTTCATCCCACGCTCCTGCCTAAGGTCCTAAATCCCACCAGCGCGGAACCTCCAATAAGCCTGTAAAGCGCTGACACGGGCAACGTGCTTGCTGATCCTTAAACACCTGCAGCTACTTTACAGAGAAGCCACCACTGAGTTAGGAACAGAGCAGCAACGATAACCGTGTTCTTTTCTTGCTTCTCACACACTTGTGTGTAGTAAGGACTTGTGTGCACAGCTCTGCCTACCCCTGACCAGAGGCCCCTGTGAGCAGAGCATCCTCGCTGCCCACGCGGCTCTGTCAGGTCAGGATCTCCAGCCCGTAGGACAGTGCCTGGCACTCAGACGTGTGTTGAACACTCGATTAGTAAACGGGCATCTGCAAGCGTGAGCCGAGTGTGAACAGTGTTCCTTGTTTTTGGTGGCTCTTCTCAGAGGTGTCACCTTAGACATCGCAGTCTACTGAAGACCCCGGAGGCACCTGTGTTCTTCAGGCTGATGGAAAAGCCGTTGGTGCCTCTCTCATTTCCCAAGACCAGAGCCCTCTGGATGTCCTGCTGTCCTGGGCCCCCCACTCCTGCCACACCCCACTGCTCCTCCCCAATAGTGCTTTAGTCTGACATCCCTTCTCTCACGACCCAGCTTGTTGGTTTTAAAATTAGCTGGAGAATAATCCTTAAAAGTAGCTTGACATTGTACCTCCACTCGCTGTTGCTGGCCCCAAAGGAGCAGCTCAAGCCGGGCGGGTAGAACAGGCGGCTCCCGGTCCTACCTGGTCCCGATCACCCTGCCCCCGCTCCACTCCCTCGCCTCTGTCTCCCACCTCATCCCTGACCCCTTATTTCTGGATACTGTTTACCAAACAGGAATCACTTTTGGCGCCTGGGGAAAGGATGTGGGGTGGCAATTCTCTCAAGTTCACATTGCTGCTGGGCCATCCCAGCGACCTCACCGCGCCCCCTGGTGGGAAATAGCCTTTTGCTTTGGGTTTTGTTTTCTTCAGACTGATGTCTAGCGAGGAGCAGTTAGCATGCCCAGTAGCAACACTGGGGAAAGATAAAAGCATTTTGAGGACGGCAAGGAAAGTTCTTTAAAAAGGAGGGGAAGGAACACCATTCAGATATTAACAGGAGAGATCATGGCTGCAGGGTTTGGCTTCCCTCTCGCCCAAAGGTGGGTCTGGCCACCCTGGCTGGTGGGGGAGGGGAGAGCAGCACCGTGGCAGGCAGAGTGCCAGGTACAGATGCCAGGAAGGGAGCAGCTCTCCACCCAACCCAGCCATGTATTTAGGTTGGCATTTTAAGGCACAGAAAACTGGACTAAGATGTAATAGGGACAGGCCTCGTGGAGAAAAGTCTCATGATCAACCCAGCGTGAGGAACGCTAATCGATCTGTTACTGCCACTGGGTGCGTTGTTGGACGAATGGTGACTGACATATGCTGGGAGGTAGCACCCACCGCACTCCTCACACGTAACTGGCTCACCCATGAATCCAAGTCCACTCGCCCGTCAGTGTCTGTGCATACGCTGCCAGCTGGGGACAGTGCAGGTTCCTCGCCAGCATCAGTGAGTGACAGATGATGCAGCGAGACACTCACATCACACCCTCCGGCCTGTGGTCCACCAGCTCAGTTTAGAGGAGAGGCACAGAGCCTTCTCCCCTGGCCTCACGGCCCCTTCTGGGTTTCAGTGGCTCCCGGAGCTTGCCGAGCGTTTGAACTTCTCGGCAATCAATTATTAGTGAGCAGTTAAAACAGCATTTGACCGAAGACAGCAGCTCGGACCAGAAAAGGGTGATACAAATTCAAAGGCGCACAAGACGTGGAACTGAGTGGTGTGGCTGCCAGCTGTCGACATGAGAGCCACCTCAGGGTGTCCCTATCCACTCAGGGTGAGCGCAGCCTCTGCCAGTGTCCCTAATCCTGCCAAGGAAAGTACACCTGCCTGGGACTGGCACGTAGACAGCGTGGCTGCGTGCAGAGCAGGGCGGAGATGCTAAAGCAGAGCCCCAGGCCCCCATGTTGAAGCAGCAGCTGGGCTTCCTCAAGAGATTTTTGTACAAATTACAAAGTCACACCTCAAGGGCAGACACAAGTCTATAACAACAGAGACTAAGTCTGGCTGTGGAAAGGACATCTCGAGTGGAGATACGCACATTCTGGTCCAATACACTCACTTGAGGAAGACACCCGAGTTTCCCCATGGAATTCCAGGCGGACCACAGAGTGAGAGGAAATGAGAGGAGGAATGTGGGCCCTGAACTTTCATGACACATTTAAGAAAACACTCAGATGCTCACAGACACGGAGAACCTAACAGAAACATTACTTATTGAGCGGCTAAGGACTTCAGACACTTATAATCCTACAAATGCCAGTATCTCACTGTCTTCCCAAACCCTCACCCCTCATGCTGACATGTCGAAGAAAGGGCTCTGGGATCTAAAGACCTGGGTGCCCCAGTCAGTCACCGGGCTCCATGGGGAGTCTGCTAGGGCAGGTGCTTGCAGATTCTATCTTAGTGATTTTAAGTTTTAACTTATTTAAATCAAATCTGGTTTTTAAAAAACTGAAGACATGATTAAGATTTTATAGAAAATTTAAACTCCCTGCTTCTGTCTGGCCTTGCCCGTCAAAGCAGCCATGGCCAAGTGGGAGAAAGGGGGCCAGGCCTCAGGCTCTGCAGACGATGCTCGGGAGTTCCCAGCACTTCCCCTGCTGTTATGTCTTCCCCATCAAAGGTACACTGTGCCATGCAGTCACTACTTTCCCCCAAGACCAAGACAAGAGGAGTGACACAGGGAAGTTCTGGTATTCTCAAAGAAAAAAATTTCAAATATGTAAAATGCATTTAATTTTTATTAAATAATGTAAAGGGTTTCCTTGGCACCATCCACATCGATTCTTGCCTTTATGCATAAAACAAGCCACATTAATTTGCGTTGGTAGCAGACAAAAAAGCTACTGTAGCAAATGCTAAGTGAGTGGACTCATTTCGGGACTGTCCTCATTCTCGGCTCTCGCCAGCCCTCCCCGTGTCCGCAGATCCAGCAGGCTGCCCTCACTGGGCCCTGCCCCTGGCTGCGGGATGTCCTCCGACACAGACAAGAGCCATGGTCACCTGGAGGAGCTGCGCTCTTTGCTCACGCAGTCGTCCTGGGAGGTGGTGTCCCCGTTTCCCATCATGCTGCAGGTCCTCCGCTTCTTCCTGCGGTGCATCGTCCCATCCCCTTCAGAACCGGACTCACACTGGACATGGGACAGAAAACACGAATTCAGCCAGATGGAGCCTCTGCCCCCGGGAGACAGCACACGTACCATCCACTCCCCCAGGAGCAAAGCAGCCACATGTGACGGCTCCACAGTGCAGCCCGAGTATCCAGCGCAGATGTTTCTGGCTTCCAAAGAATCACCACCTTCCTGCAGGTGGCACTGTCCCCCCCCACCATGTTCTCTACGGGAAAGATACTTGAAATCAGGACGCCCACCCTGAGAAGTTAGTCATCGTTCTGAGGCCGCATTGTAGAATTTCACCTGATGCGTGAAGGTGGGCACAGCACTTAACATACGTAGAACACACCACCTCCCGCCACCAGGAAAGGCGAAATCAGTGCGGTGCGCAGTTATGGGACATAAATTTCATCTGCTAAGGGCGTAGAACCCTTTCACCCAATATTATTATTATGTTAGCTTTTAGCAAGTCACTGAATTTGCTGGGTTTCTAGGCTCACAGTTTGCCACCCACAGGGAAAACGCAACCTGGTCTGTGAGGTCTGAATGCCCGGAGTCTGAATCTCCGACACCACAGTCTGCCAGCCGCATGATCCTGGGCCATTACTTACTGAAACTCCCAGGTACTCCTCTAACCTCTCAAGGTTACTGGGATGATTCACATGCACATAAAGCTATAAAACGGGAAAGAGTCCTGCCACAGCAGGACGGTGGCAGTGGCAGTTTTTAGAAGGGAGTGAAAATGTCCTCCTTCTCCCTCCTGCAGGGGAGCAGGGCCTCACCTCTGAGTCCGAGTCGGACGAGCTGGAGCTGGAGGAACTGGAGGAGTCACTGGAGCTGTCGGAGGCGATCCCTGTGGATTCCTGGAGGTCAACGGAGTCAGCTAGGACTGCTAGCTCAGGGTGCTCTTGCTTCAAGATCCTGGGAGACAAGAAACGCTGTTCTCAGTGCCAGGATGGGCAACAACAGCCACACACAGTCATGGAGCTCAGACCTGTCCCTCTCAGAGGCATCCAGGGATGGCGGAGCCCACTGGGAGCGAGGGCTGTCGAGTGGCAAGGACGCGGATCCACCGGCGGGAGCAGGAGCCCTGCCTGCTGCTCAGGCTTCTCTGGGAGGAACACGAGCTCCCCATGAGCTCCCACCACCTGCGCCGCCACCGCGAGGCACCATTTCTTTGACTTAGTCTCAGTTTTGTCCCCTCAGGAGAAGCAGCTTCTCTTCCTAATTTGTTCCCTGCACTTTTCCTAGCTGATTTTTTTGGAACCTTCCTGTCCACAGCACAGCACCTAATGACTGGAGTTGCACTTGGCGAAATTCTATTTGTCAGAGTAAAAATAATTAGATCTGTAAGAAGTAAGAAGTGCCGAGGAGCAAGCTGAACTGGGCCATCAGCGGCAGCAGCCCTGCCCTCGCCTAGGCACCTGACCTGGCATCCGCTGGGACGGGAACAGCCCTGCCCCGAGGTAAGGCCTTCAGAGCGGCCAGCGGAGCACACAGCAGCCTGCGGGAGGGCAGCAGTGGGCCTCAGATGCCTGGAGTCTGGAGAATGGAGCCACCACCCTTGCTGGCCCTCAGCAGGGGGCTGAGCACTGAACAAGCCAGAATCCCTCTTACCCCGAGAGCCGGTCCCTCCAGGTCAGGGTTGGGACCCAGTGGCACGGGGTGGCTGGGGGTGGCTGGCACTGCCGCTGCCCGTGCTGTATCTGTTCTGCGGATAAACAGAGGAGCTAAGACTCCAGGGCAGTGACCTCACTCACAAGAACTGAAGGTAGCAAGTGCAAACGGGACTAATGCTTCTGGGTAAGAAAAAGAAATAAGCAAAATAAAACCCAAACCAAATGGCTTCCTTTGCTAGTGCTAGCTCTGGGGGTGGGGGCTGGGAGAACAAAAACAAAAAACAAACAAAACGAGAAACGACCCCAATGATGAGCATGTTTTGACGGACGCTCTGATCGGAACATGCAGTTACCCTGCCACCTCCAGGCTGGCGAGCATCCTGAGAGCGAGCCCTGACCTTGACCCACTCTCCTGTACTCGAGCGCTCTGGCAGCCCCAGCTTTTGCCAGGTCCGTCTGAGCTCAGTGCACGCCATTGCAGTGGTGGGCTCTGTACATTTTATCTCTCTGGCAGACATTGAAACAAGGCAAAAATAAGAAAAAAACAGCTCTCACCTATACCATTTCCTGGACAACTTTGGTCTCCCTCTTACCGTCTTGTGCCACACAACAGGGAAATTGGTGCTGCTGGCAAAATTCTGGGTGATGGCAATGGTGGTATCAAGATTGAGAACAACATGCCACCAGCCTCCTGAAATCCAACAAGTAAATAGTTGAGTAGGGTTGGGTTCCATACCCAATCGCTCTACAACGTCAACTTCATCTAACATTTCACATGAACTTCGGAAGCCGGGGACTCCTATCCACAGGGAGAGCTGCGGAGACAGGACCCAGAGCAGGCATGCTTCCCCTGATCCAGGAGTCCCGGAGGACCTGTCTGGGTAAAGATTTACTGGAGTACTGCTGTGCCTGCTCACTTCTGGGTCATCTATGGCTGCTTTCCTGCTACAAGGGCAGAGCTGAGCAACTGAGCAGGCTGTCTGGCCACAGTGCCTGACATATTTACTCTCTGGCCCTTTACAGAGAAAGTGTGTCCTCTCCTGCTAATCCACAGCTGTGACCCAAACTAAAGGGCGCAAGTTCTTTAGCTTCTAGGAGGAAGACACCTATTCCCAACACTTAACCTCTCAGAGGCATCGGGGGTAGGACTGATTTCTGGCCTCTAGGCTCTAAGTCACTATTTCCTGACTCAGCCCACCCAGTGCTACATTGTATCAAAACCCCAAGTTATAGAAATATGCACAAGTCACAGAACATACACAAGTCACTAGGGAAACTAAGGACAAAAATGAATAGAATCTTTACATACAGAAAGTTCCCCAATAGTCCTTATATATTGAGGTCCTTATATAAGAAATGAGGACAACAGCCCCCTAAGCACCTGACAGTACAGTACATTCCACTGTCAGAGGTGGGCACAGGGCAGCTCAAGAAGCCGGCATGCGGAGGGATTTCTTTGACTCACTTTATATGTAGTTCTGCTCCAAAACGACAAATTACTAAATTCAAAGAGAGTACTGTGTTTCAGTTCATCTGTACCTGGCACAAAGACAGTCTCTCCTGGTTTTTGTAAGATTTCTAGGGGTCTGAATTCGGGTGGCCAGGTCGGAAGCTGTGTCCGGGGATAGATGATACTGAACCAAGTAATAGCCTCATCTTGCTGGTTCCCCCCTTCTTCGCGGGTCACCTTGATGAGCTCCCTGGGCGTGCTGGTGGGGAACAGGCACCAGCGCTTGTGGCCCTGCACCAAGGCATTCCAGGCGCTGGTTCCCAGAGGGTCAATGTGAATTCCGGTTCCAGAGCGTGGGGGCCCCATCACAAACCACCTACAGGGCAGAAACACCCAAGATATGAGGAGTAACTTACACACACATCACAAAATAACAAGTTTGTGGTTTCACACACTACATTGTGTCATCTTTGTTTCAAAGACTACAGACATTTTGGGACACAGAGTGAACTGTGCATGAATTGTGGACTGATCCCTAATAGAAAAAAGGAAACCACTGACATGGCCCAGTGCTTGACTTAAAAAACTTCCCTTAATATGGTCGGTGGTTCAACTTCGGTTGCACATTTGAATCACCTGGGGAGCTTTCAGAAATCCTGATGCCCAGGGGGCACCCAGACCAATTAAAGCACAGTCTCTGGACCCAGGCAGGCACCAGCAGCCCCCAAAGTCAGTCCCCGGTGCAGCCAAGGGAAAACCACTGACTGTTCCATAAAAGGGTAGCTCGCTGAGCCGGCTGACACGTGCTGCTGTGGAGAAGACTGTGGCGGCGCTTTACCTGTAAGGGGGCCTGCGCTTCTCCCCCGCGTACTGGAAAAGGTCGTCAGTGAAGAACTTGGGCACCTTGTAGTCTTCCAAAAGTTTCCTCCTTTTGGGATGTTCCCCGTAGCTGCTGTCAAAGATGTACAGGGGGCTGTCATCGCGAGTGCTCTCCATGTACTCGATGTAGTACTTCATCTTCATCTTCACCGAGTAGCCGTCGTTGTCCTCCCCGCACTTGAACTTCTGGTTCCGGTACTTCCTTTTCAGGCGCTCCAGAGTCCACTTCTCCTGCGCGGACCAGCCCTCCTGGGCATTCAGCAGAACCACGGGCTTGTACGGTCTTTCGTATCGCTCCACAAATTCTTCCACCGACAGCTGTAAGGCGTCTGCCCTCTCCACGTTATCCTGAGGGGACCAAAAAAGACCTATCCAGTTAAAAAAATTAAAAAATCAGGCGAATGAGGGTGTCCTCAGGGCCAGTGAGCAAGGACGTGCCTAAGGAGCCAGGTTTTTGTTCTGGCTCGATCGGGGTGGGGGCGGGGCAGGCCCCGCGTGCGCGCAGGCACGTCGCGCCCGAGCCACCCCTCCAAGGGTGGCTCCGTATCTCCCACTTGCGGCCTTTGACAGCCAGGTCCCCGAGGGCCCCGCAGCCGTCCAAGGGGATCAAGGGGCGACAGGCCGCCTCTTTGAGGGCGCCAAAGGCGCGAGAGTCCAGCTGCCCGGGCAGGAGGGGGAGGAGGCCCTCCGTGGAATCCCGGCCCCGAGGACCCCGACCTCCCTCCG